CGGGCTGGCGACGCTTCCGAGAGGGGCGAGCAGGAAGCGACGCTCCCTTCTTGTCTTGCCTGAAGGTGTTTGTCGTGGTGCTGGTCATCCAGCTGGATCGTGCGGGCGCCTCGGAGTGTGGGCTGGGAGAGTACCCCATAGGCGAAGAGTGCTGCCCGATGTGCGCGGCTGGTAGGTGGTGGTGGGCTGCTCCCCGCTCAGCGCAGCAGCGGGTCGTGGGGCTGACCCACATGCCCAGCTCTGGCCGTGCCCGCTGTGCCCTGGCCAGGGCCTTGCGCTGCGCTGGAACATCCGCCTGGGCTCACGTCCCACTTGCGACAGCGTGAGGCTAGGGAGTTGTCTCTGGTTTTTAGGACTTCGGGTTTTCAAGCATTGCACTGCGAATTCCGGCACGACGTGCATACCGTGTGTTGCAGATACATACACGGATCATCCCAACGGTTTAGTACACTGCAGGAAGTGTAAACTGTGTGATAAAGGTAAGGAGGATGCTAAGGAACCAGTTTAAATGGATTTTTCTTGCCTTTTGTGGATAATTCTCCCCCAAAAAACTCATGGGCTTGATGAATGGGTTAGAGTGTGAAGAGCAGAGGCTCCTGTCACTGTGCTGACCTCGGAATGCTGTCTACTGCGTGATGGAAGGGAAAAACTGGCATAGATCTTCAGCTGGCACTGGTGGAAGTTTGACCTGCAGCATCCCTTTTAGCGTTTAAAGGCTCCTTCAGATCACAGCATGGTGTCTGAAAAGCTGTCTTGGAATACTTGGAATTTTAAGCCTGAAAGAGCTCCGGGTGGGGCTGTGCTGCTCCACCAGGACAGCTAGTTTAAGAATATCTAAGTTGGGAGTGTTTTGTTTTTGCTGTGCAAGTCACAGGACAGAAGTAAATGTGACCCAAGATGAATTGAGGAACTAGGCTCTCTTTCTACGTACAAAAAGGAGTCATCTTCACTAATCTGTTGCTTCTGGTGCTCTACACCAGGGCATCAAGGCAAGACAAAATGTTCACTTTTGCTTTTCTATCTGTTGATTGTATCCATGTAAATACTGTGGCTGTGCGTGCAAATTTCTCTTAGGAGCCAACCTCGTGCCAGAAGTAGCATGTACGTACACGAAGAACACTGTGTGTGGCTGTCTGCCTGGGTATTTCTGCAGTTACTTCGGGACTGAAGACTGTGAGCTTTGTCAGCGCTACACTGTCTGCTCTCCTGGCACTATGGTAAAAGAAAGGGGTAAGCCAACATAGCATCAATAACACCAAAAGCAAAACTTTGTTAACAGTAATGCCTTTAGAGTTTGATTTTGAAGGGGCTGGCTGTCAGTTCATCCAGAAGAAAACTAGTGAAGGATGAAGGTGAATGGATAGGGCCAGCACATAGTAGGTATGGTGTATACTGATGCACTGTGCTGTAATTGTCAAGACACTAGTGCACAGCTGGAAGCTTGCAGGATCCATGTAAGTCCTAGATGCTGAGGCAGTTGATGTGGCCAAGAATGCTTTTTTTCCTGTCTGTAAAGACAGAAGTGTGTGAGCTTTTGTCTGTAGTGAAGAGTCTCTGCAGAACACTTGGTCCTTTACAAAGATGACGCTGAACTGAAGCTCTCCTTAGCCACAGGTGCAGATAGAAATCCTGTTGTCTTCTCCCTTATAGGCACAAAGACCACTAACAATGTGTGTGAAGTTTGTCCTCCTGGAACCTCCTCAACAGCCAACATGTCCAGCAGTTGTACACCATGGGCCAGGTAAGCAGCTTTTACTCTTTATGGGCACGGGGCTGTTCTCTTTAACTGTTGGATCTGCGTTTTGCTGTCTTGGAAAGAGCAGTTTCCTGCTTCCAGCAAGGCACCGAGTGTGGAATCCTGTTCCTGTGTCTTACTGTTCTTGGGAACAGCATAACTTCTCTCTTTATAAACTCATTAACTTGACAGATTTAGCCTTCAGCCTCTTGTCCTAACTCCTCACTGCAGAGAAGCCTCTCAGGCAGCTCTAACAGAGCTGGATCTGGACCCGTGAAGAGCAGTGCACTCCTCTGGGTCCCTGGGTTTCAGCTGACACGTCCCTTAGCTATAGCAGAACAAGTGAGAGTTTGCTTCTGAGGGGAATCAGTTTGCATTTACAGGCATTAAAACACAGAGGTAAAAGTCAGCTCCTTCCAGGGTCACCCACCAAGTCAGAAAGAGCTTTGCAAATGCCCCTGGATGTGGAGGTGTCATGTTAAAACCAGTGCGGCAGCTCCACTGCAAGGTCTGCTGACGGGTTCTAAGACACAATTATTTCTTTTCTCACATCAGACTGAAGGAGAAGGGCCTGGTGCAAGGAGAGGACGGGAATTCTCACTCAGATTCCTCTGTTGTGGCAATTGTTGGTTCGGTCGTTGGTTCGGCTGTTGGGACGGCGCTAGTTGCAGCTGGCCTCAAATATATCTGGCAAAGGAGGAAAAGGAAAACTTATGTGCCACGTAAGTACGAACAGCGTGTGTCCAAAGGGGTTGTTTTGTAATAGTTAGTACTCTGAGGAGTGGTCTTGGCTTCACTAGATGTTGAGCTGAATCCTCAACAGCCAGTGAGAGGTGGACTGCAAGGAAACGTCCCCGTTTCTGTGTGCCCCAGTTGACCTGTTGTAATGGTGCCTCCCTGGGGGTCTGCCCGTGCAGGATCCTGCTGAGCTGCTCCTGCACACACGTAAGGACAAGGTAGCAGGATTAGAGAAAGGATAAAGCTCACCTTACTGTGTTTTGATGGGACTGTTTCATTTTCTTTGCAGCGGTGCAGGAATCAGGGGTGAGTCTCTATTTCTTTTATTTTTTTAGTGTTTTTAGTAATATGTTGAAATCTGCAGTAGGTTTTTAGTGTAGTGTTTGTATGTGCAATGTGTTGGATGGGCTCAGTGTGTACTGGAGCAGCATGTGGATACTGAGTGTCTGTGAGTCCTAGAATCCCCAAGACTGCAGCATCAACTCATTTTATGTGATTCTCATTAGGATCTAGTCCCAAGGCCATTGTTATCTCCTGACACTGGGGATTTAGGAGATGCACTCCTACTAAAAAATACAAGTCTGTCTTACATAACTGTGTTTATTTATCTCTCATCCTACAGTTTTATGTATCCCCTAAAAGCTCCTGTTAGTGATTTGTGAGATCTCATACCTGTGCAGCGATGTGTTTTGTAGGAAAAACATTGAATGGACAGTATGATTTAAACTTTTGATTTGAGAGGGGACTTACAGTGACTCCTGCCTTTAAGGAAGAAGCAAAGTCTAGCTGTTAGTAGTGAAAACAGCAGGCACTTGCCAGCAAAAACTGACTCATACTCTGTGTGTTTCCTTTGACATGTTTTGAAGGGCGGACAGCAGGGTCAGGCTTTGATATTAACTGTGGAGAATGGAGATCAAACAACTGTTGCTGTGCAGGAAACCAATGCTGATCCTGAAGAACCCAAGCCTGAATAGCCATTTTTGAACTATTGTAGACAAAGGAGATGGTAAAAGAAACACCAAAACCACGACCATAAAAAAAAACCCAACCCACCTCAGCAAAAAAAACCCAACCTGTTTTCCAAATATTCATGGAGAAACAGACAGCTTGAGAATGAAGAGGAGGATCTGCAAAGGAGCTAAGGAAGTAGCCCAGTGGCATCTTCTGAAGCATCAGAGTTTGAAATAGCTGAGTGATGAAGGCGTTGGTCAGGATCGTCAGAGGTTTTTTTCTTTTTACGTTCCCGCTTTATGGAGCAGTGGACTGTTTGGTGTGCCTGGAGTTTCTTTCTTTCTTACTTTGGACAGTTACTTACTCACTGACTTGGACAGTTTCACTTGGTATCCATGTAATTATTCCAAGATATGTTTGTTAGTGGAAAAATATAGATTTTTTTTCATTTTAAAGATTCCACATAACTAATACATAACACATTTGTGCCTCCCAGGCACTATTGCTGCCTTTTGCCAGTCGCCTCTGCTCTAACCTGTGATCATGTGTTAAAACAAAGTTAAGGCTCTACATGAGCATTATGTCTAGAAATAAAGTTTTTACTAATGAAAATACATTCTTTCTTTCTGTAAAAGAACTTTCCTGTTGCCTGAAGAAGTGAAAAGGCCAAGTTGCTTGGCTCTTGGCGTTGACTTCAGGAAAAGCATTATTCTTAAAGAGCATCGTGGTGGATGCAGGTTTTTGAGGGAGGATTCGGTGAGGACAGCAGTGCTTTATTTACCAGCTGAGCTGGAGGTAAGGGTTGTATATAAAACGAGATGTAGCAGAAGATGGAGAGAGGCATGGAGAAGACACACGCTGGGTGCAGTGGGACGCTGGAGAGGAGGTCCTGGGGCTGATGGAAGGAGCGGATACCAAAAGGGGCTGTGAAAGCATCAGTGTTGGAGTGAGACACTGGTGTTGCACGGGGTGCAGAGGGGGCTGTTACTGCAACTGGAGAGAGGCTGACATGGGAGATGTCTTTGCATTTCCATTTTGAATGACTGAGAAGGAGCAGAGGAGTGGCAGGGAGATGGGAGAAGGGCTTCCAGGAACTGACACGGGTTGCCTGTGGTTTTGCTGCATTAGTGCAGTCCCTCCGAATTCATCTTCGCTCAGGCTGTGGATCCAGAGACCACTGCTCTTTGACCAACAAACTCGCACGCCTCTTCCCCACATGGCTGTAAGGAATGGAAGAAAATGGGAAATGGTTGTCTTTTTGCTCAGGAAAAGCATGATAGACAACTTTTTTTTTTTTTTAAGTATGTTAGTTTGTTCAGCAGAATTAGTTCTGTGTTTTTTTTTTTTTTTTTTGCAAAATAAGGTGGCTTTTCAGAAACTCAACATTATGTTTTGTAAGAATGGCTACACTTAGGTGTGCAAAAGTACAGCTTTGCTGAAAAATCAAGCTGCAGGCCACAGTAAGTTAAAAGGTTTAGAGAATGCTTTAAAATCCTTTTTAAAATTTCTGCTGTGTGCATGCAGATCTGTCCATGAAAACGTTCTGTTAAAGTTCCATGAATAAAAATGTGATCTTTAGAGGTTTTTTAGAAGTCCCAGTAAAAGTCATGTTTGTGAAAATCTTTACATGGCACTAGTCACGGAAGGGCAAACTGCCTACAGTTTCCTTTGCTCCTAGCTTTTTTTTATATGAAAAAGGATGCCCACATTGTATTTACAATCCCAGCATCTAAGTTCTGAAAGTATCTGAGATGGAAAGAGGTACAGCCTTTGTTGGTTCTTGTGTGTCAGCTGAGAGTCACACAGAAAGCACTTGATGAGTGCTGACCGTTGGAATCAGTTTCACTTTCGGTAGTCGAATACGGGACAAGCAGTAAGGCAGTTCTGACGTATCCCTCTGAAAACACCAGTGGCACCTGGCAAATGCATTACTATTTTTTGTGTTTGCCAGTTTTGTGGGTGGTCTGATACGACTTACTGAATACGTCTCCGTGAGCAATGAAGATACACATTGGGCAACCACTGTTTATGTTTTTCCCCTGACCTTTATTCTCTGGATTAGTTCTGGGTAGCTGGTTAGTGTTTTATGGGGTTGGATGTTCTCCAGCGTTTGGCCGACTGCAGAATTTGCTGATCGTTAACCTCTGCTTGTTCCTCTCTAGTACCGGTGCATGAAGGGTTACTTCTGTGGTTTAGTAAAAAGCTTTCTTGAGCGAAGTTTCAAGATAAAACCCAAACCCCAAACGGAGAGAGTTCAGAGAACAGCGACACAGAAATTTCAGCTGTGTGCCACGTGCCAACCTTGGGGCAAATTCTGGCTTTTTCTTGTCTTCTAATGACTTAATGTCACTGCTGAAGGCGTACGTAGGCAGCAGTAGCATCCTGCTTTCGCACCGGCGCCAGTAATACGTGTGGCTCTGAACGGACTACAAATCGTACAGCTTTGCAGCTTCCAGGTAGCAGGTGTTAACTCAGTACCTTGCTGGCTGACAAACACATCGTTTTCTTCCAAAAATGTGAATTGTGCAATTCGTTACCTGGCAGTAACATTCCTGCCAGGCTGCCCGGCTTTTTGGTGGGCACGGGGGCGCTCGATATAGCGGTGTTCAGGTTTGGAAGATTTCACTGCTGTTTGTCTTGCGTAATCCAGATCTGTTAATTCTCACCTTGGGTTAATTAGAGTTTGTAAAGCACTTTGTAAACCTCAGGGGACGGGTGCTGGACACGTGTAAACCTTTAATAGATGCTGCAGGTGTGCTGGACAGGCTGCTGCTGGACCGTGGGCTGTCTGGTTGCCCTACAGCCTGTGTGATTTTTAAATTATTATATTGGCATACTGCAGACCTTAAGTTAATCAGTATTACTTTTTTACTGAGATGAACTTTTAATTAAGCAGCTGTGAAAGCAGATGAAGATCTTAACAAGGGGGAGGAGTTAAATAGTACTGTTGTTCAGTGTTGTCGTTTGGAGGAGGGGTTTCTTGTAGTGTTTAGGCAGCAATTGCTCCAAAGATGTTTGTGCAAAGAAATATCTGGGCTCCAGCCCCATGAGGATCAGATGATCAGAAGCTGGAAGAAGTCGCTGTAGATAAGCTGGGAGCTTTGCACAGTTGGGTGAAGAGATGGGTGGCAGCACCAGGCTGGGAACAGCCATTTACTGAGTAAAAAAAAAAAAAGATATTTTTTGGGGTGCCTGCTGTAGCAGCTGTGTGTTTGATGGAGTCTGAAAAAAAACTCGCCGACGTTTCCATGTGTCTTTCGGTCTGTTTTAGAAGTTGGAGGCTGATGTGTCACCAGGTGGCAGCATGGGAGAAGGAAAGATTTCATTTCCTCTCCTGGAAAACGTGACGTCTGAACCTCTCTGGTTTTCCTGAGAATGCAATAAGGCTGCTCTAGTGCTTGATTGCCTGGGAGTCTAAACCAGAATCAGATCCACAGCGAAACGCCTCTGGGGTACAGTATTTTCCATTAGGAGAAAGTATTTTCTGCAGGAGCTTCTAATTTCTGTCCAGTTCCATGGGTTTGTCCAAAAAAAAAAGAGGCTCCGTTGCGGGTGAAGGTGTTAGAGGGACTGGAGAGGAGGCTGTTCACCAGTCTCTGACTGAGACATACAGACATGTGTTACACGTAACTCAGCCTGGGAGCAACTGTGAACAACAAAAATATTGTGTGTGTGTCAGTCTTACTGCCCCACAGATGTGTTGGTCTGGGCAGGGCAGTGTGTGTGCAGAGGATGCTCCGTGCCTGAAAGCTCTGCAGATTCTCAGTGTGCACCTTGTTACCTCCTGGAGTGCGTAAGCCCTGTGTCAGTAGTGAAAGCACTGGATTATTGGGAGCTCCTTTAAAAAATAGTGCAGACCTCGTTTTGGGGACAGTTTCATTCTTACCTAACGCTAAATGCATTATTTACCTGTGCAGGTGGAGAAAAAGATGGTCTTGTGCAGAGCCCTGTTCCTTATGGAAGGGCGTTTGTGGGACTGTAAAGGGCGGATGTCACTTATGCACTTGGGTTGTGCTGGCACAGATACAGAGCGACGGATGGAAAGAGTCTTCTGCAGGTGGGAGGCGTAATAAACTTCCACAAAAAAATAAAGTAACTTCCATGTGCTGTAATAATAACTTGGAATAAAACCTCCCAGGCACGTTTTAATTATCCCTTTAGCAGATGCATGTGCCAGAACTTCTAATGGCACATCTCCAGAGCTTAATGGTTTTGCAGAGTAATTACATTGTCAGCCTTGTGAACCTCCTCCACCTGACCTCTGCAGGCTTGTGTGCTGTTTCCCTTGCTTGGCATGTATGTACTGCTGCCACATCCCTGAGTTCCCTCGCAGTAGGCAGTGACTGCCTGGCCATCCAGGATCAGACAGCTGCACAGCCCTCTGCTAAGCAAAATATAAAATAATGCTATTCTCAAGGCCAAAACTGTCCTGTGAACATGGTATCAAAGAACAATAACGTGTACTTTTAGAGAAGGGTTATATGCAAACCTGACTAGCCCTAGGAACGATTCTGATACCTGTAGAGTAAATGCTAAGTTCATATTATTGTAATATTTGTAGGATACCTGTAGAGTAAATGCTAAGTTAATATTATTGTAATATTTGTAGTATACCTGTAGCTGTTCTAGTCCAATTAAAACAGTTAATAGCACTGTATTACTGGTCACAACTTTGATCAACTCTTCTTCCATCATCTCATGCTATTGTTCTTGTGCATAACTCTGGACCTCTCTCGTGAGCAAGGGATCTTTCCAGCACATTGGAAAGATTTACATTAAAAATTTACTCCTCAAATTGGCTTCTTTTTTCTGATATTCTGCTGCTAAAAGATGTAGGCTACCTAATTTTTCTGTCCCTAAATAGGAATTCCAGTTGTAGTTTATCCTGAGGTACTGTTACTGGCAACTTAATAGACAAGTTAAACTCTTGAGCAGTATTTCAAGTGTCACTCTTGTCTTAATAACCCTGGAATACAAACATTTTCCTGACGGCAGGCGAGCTACCTGAACTCGTTATGAAATC